TGCTGTTTTTATGTGTGATAACAGAACCTAATCGAGGTAAGGCTAGGCCTAGCCTAGCAGCGTTGGATAGGCTAATGTTTTCGGCGCCTACGATATTTCTTCTCACGACCTGTCGCAAAATCAAACATGAAAATTCATCCGCATTTATTTTTTGTGTGGAACACAAAAAATCAAATTTCAGTCTTATTTTACATTTTTTTTATTCTTAGGAATGTCTAAATCCAGTTAAACTAGCAATTCCGTATTATATTTATAAATCTTTATAACATTATACAAAAATTAGATTTTTTTTAAAAATTGAAATTTTGCCGGGAATGGGGCTTTAATAAATTTTATATCATAAATTTAAATCAAACTTGGAGAAATTTATGGATGGTCCACAATATTGCCAGCCACACCTTTTTCTTTTTTTAAACTTATTACTGATGCCTTTTTCACCTTAAAGACTTTTACTAATAGCCTATAGCCTACAGTAGAACGCTACCGTACCGATAGGCCTACTACTTGCCTACCCTTGCGGGGGCCTAGCGAAGCCTGGCTGCCTAGAGTTTAGCAAAGCTAGGCCTAGACCTAGCCCCGTTTGGCCTTAAGCATAGCCTAGCCTAGTAGTAGTACTACCAGGTGTATAATAATAAGGTCTGACTAAGCTTAGACGGCCCTATACTATATCGATATGGTTCTGATATTGTAATACTGTTCAACAAAATTATATAAAGAAATATAGTAAAGAAATTACGTATGTTTCTCTCTCGATCTCATCATGTCATCGGACACCAGGATAGGGTTGCCAGATAGTCGACAAGCTTCACGGCCAAACACACGCCATCTAACGGCCAAATTCGGCCAAACTTTTTTTTGATATCGCCAAATTTTAATCCGACAACAGTGGGTCATATTCATTTGAAATACTACAAAAAATACACGAAAATCAGCGGTCATCTGTTTAAAATTGAAGAAATTAAAATGATATACACAAAAAAATGTTAATCTTTCACTGTTTTCTCCTTTTAATTAATTTATCACCATAAAATACATGTAGGCCTCTGCTATTTAAAATCACATTATTAAGATTGATCTAAATTTGATTTAAATGTATTAAATATTGAAGTACGTAGTAGTCGATCTATAGCAAAAATTGTAAGGGCCTATTATCGAATATTCATATTGGCAAAACCCTGCAAATCCGTGGCTCTCTTTAATTAGAATGAATTAATTAGTTAGGTAACACAAACTGGCGTTAAAACAAACCTAAGATACCTTTACAGGCCCGTAGCCAGGGGGGGGGGGGGTTTATGGTTCGGGCGAACCCCCCCTT